AAGAGTGGTGAGAACAGCAGAGAAGATCATCTGGGCTCCTCTTCCCTCAATTAAAGATATTTCATCCCAGTGCTGCATGTCCCAAGCCCGTTATATCAAAAATGACCCCTCACACCCCCACCATGGATTCATTTCCTTGCTGCCCTCTGGAAATAGACTTTGAAGCATCGAAGCACATGGCTGCACAGCCATGTGCTTATTTGTCTGCTACCCTAAAAACAAAAAAGCTCTCCAAGAATTTCTTCGTGTTAAGCTTTAGAAAGAGTAGGGACATTTAGATAAAATGCCAACTTTAGTAAAGCTCCATATTTTAGCAGTTACTAATTCCCAGAAAAAGCATACTAAAAAAAGAAGGAAGTAAAATGTTAAATAATTGTCTTGACATTTAATTTATTGATTCCCGATTTATATATTTTTTAGAGTGTAAAACAGTCTTGGTGCATGAATTATAAACAGGTTACCAACAACTTTTTTTTATTTAAATGGTGTCATGACGTTTTTAAGAGATCTGACCCACATCCAGAAAACCAGAGTAAAACTATAACAGGTTTATTGAGGAGTTCAAATGGGTTGGATTCAGGGAAACTCAGAGATCTGGTGAACTGGAACTGGAAGTGGGAAGGGAAGTTCACAGAGGTTAGTTCAGGGTCCATGGGAACTTTGAACGATGTCTTGCAAAAACAGAGAAAAACGGGACTCACGATTCTGGAGAAAGGTTTCTTCCCAGAATGCAGTCATTGTGGGTTTTTCCAGAGATAGAGGGGCTCTTTGGAGGGCAGACAGGTTTTGGTTGGGTTGGTTCCTGAGGAGCAATGGAGCAGGCTGCCACTTAGATTTCCTGGAGAACTTGAACCGGACGTGTGGAGATTATTCCTTTGCTCAGTGTGAAACTCAAACAATCCTTCCAGGGGGAGAAGGCCAAACATCCAGTATGCAGGATGACTTCCTGCCAAAAGGCAAAAGACAAAAATCATGTTAGAATCAGAGAAACAAAGACTCAGTTAGACTCAGCTAAACTCAGCTTGGCTAGATTACCCAAAACTGGCAAAAACTCTGGCGTCGAAGTAGTGACAGTCCACCGCTTAAGAAATCCTCAGTAATGAGCCAACCAGCCGCAGGTGTGTGGGAGAACCAACGAGAACAGGGCGCCACCTGGTGGTGGAGGGGGAAAACACAAAAACACAACCCACACAGACTGGATTCCTACAAACAGTGGCCTTGGAGCTTATTAATATCTACACACAACAAAAATATAAATTCAACTTTGGTTGCAAACTTGTGGTTATGCTCCCATTTTTTTAGGAGATGAACTCAAAGATCTAAAACTTTTTTCACATACACAATATAACCATTTCCCTCAAATATT